GAGTAGATGAAGAATAGATGAAAGACAGCCTTTGAAACTCTTGAACAATCTGAAGAGGCAGCGGGGATGGAGGGAAAGGAACAAATTAAGGATATTTTAGAGACACAGACTCAAAGGATCTAGGGACTGACTGGGTCTGTTATTGGGGTTTGAGGGTCAGGGTTGGGGGGTGCTAACAAAGAGTGACAGGTTGAAGAGAACTCCAACTGCCTGGCTTCGGCAGCTAACTCAGCTGATGTCACTAAGACAGGACATATAGAAGCAGCAGATTTTGTGGCAAGAAACTAATGAGTTCAATCTGAGACAGGTGGAATTGGGCATGTAGATCGGATAACCAGATGGAGAGAAGTACCAGATAAACCGAACTGTTTGGAACCAAGCGGAGGGGTCTGGATGGGAGAAGATAGCCAAGCAAACCCATTAAAATGTAAGCATCTAGGGGGCTTCCCTGGTGGCGCAGTGGCTGAGAGTCCGCCTGCCGATGCAGGGGACACGGGTTCGTGCCCCGGTCCGGGAGGATCCCACATGCCGCGGAGCGGCTGGGCCCGTGAGCCATGGCCGCTGGGCCTGCGCGTCGGAGCCTGTGCTCCGCAACGGGAGAGGCCACAGCAGTGAGAGGCCCGCGTACCAAAAAAAAAAAAAAAAAAATGTAAGCATCTAATTCATGCTCGCCATGGGTCTGGCTAGGGATAAGTGGCCACTAAGTGACTCCCAGCCTCTCCAGAGCTCTAAAGCAACCAGAAACAGAATCATTCAAACTAATACAGTGAAAAACTTAAGTGACTACCACCCCAAGGCTGACTGGGATGGATGGACCAAAATGAGATTCCTTGGCTCAGCGATTACTCAAACTGCAGATGATCAAAGGACCGGGAGTATTAACACCACCTGGGAGTTCCTTAGGAATGCAAATTCTCAGAATCAGAAGCTGGGGTGGTGTGGGGAAGAGCAGCTGTCTGTGGGTAAGGAGCCCTCCAGGTGATTCTGAGGCTCACTAGACTTTGAGATCTACAGCCTTAGCTAATGCCCCAATTACTTGAGGGGAATGGAGTGTGAAAGAGAACTCCCAGGAGACAGGTCTCCAAAGATCTGAGGAAACTGTACGTTAGAAAAGGATACACTCTGCACGAAGACAAGCATCAGGAACTTTTGCTAATTTTCAACAGCGAAGCAAAGGAGAGCCCCTCAGTGGTCCTCACCGTAAAGCTTTCTAATTGAGGAATATCACTCAGCACTAAAATCTCAAACATTACAAACGTGAAAAGGATGCTCTGCTTCTCAGAGGATGCCACCACCACCAGCGAACCCTTTCTCATTTTCTCACCAGACACCTCCCTGTTGAGCAACATCGAGCATTTATGGGATGGTCGCCTAGGGTTACAGGATCTCTGGATATGCAACAGGCCTCTGGGTCAAGCTAACTGACCAGATTCAGGATGAAACCCTTGAGCTGGGCCTAATGGAGTCCCCTAAGGAACTAAGCTAAATCACCCACATATCAAATCCTACACACAAGATTGATCTAAGCATGGCCACAGTATGTTTTTTCCAGTAGCAAGGACCATAAAGCAAGTCCAACAAAAGCTTGACTGGAGTAAAACAAAACCAAGCTGAGGCATATGGAAGCAACAGGAAAAAGGGAAAGGAAATTAAAACAATGTTAATACGCCATTTATAATCCAACTTAGACACATAACCACCCTTATCCCACAAAAAGGTACTTAGTCACTATTACCTTTTACCCTCAGCTACTCTAAATCCTCATCCACAAGCATTGCATCATATCCTTTCATTCAAAATTATAAATAATTCAGAGATTATTTATTTTCATAATTGGTGTGCATGCAATACGTGGCAAAGGCAATGGCTGGTCCTAGCAATGTGATTTCCTCTCCCTTTCCACTGCAAAAATCCCAGCCTGATCTGCATTTTCTTAAACTTTCTCCCTCGACCACTCAAAGGGGTCCTCTCTGACCTGGGACCAGTCTACAATCCCGTATGCATGATCTAGCCAATTCTTGACTGTAACAACCCATTCTGCTTCAAGAACAGCTACTACACACCTGCCTTACTGATGTTTTAGGAGTTGTTCCTTTCTTCTAACATTCCCTCCTGTTGGGAGGTTGATACGAAGATCAATGAGTTAATGTTTGCCAAATACTTTAGGCTTCTCGGATGAAAGGCAACGTTAAAGTTCAAGCGACCTGAAGCTGGCAGGACACGAGAGGCATTGCAGTTGCCTCCTTATACTTGGTCTTCAAAGAAGGAAAGCAAGGCTGCAAAGACACTCATTTGTGTCGATCGGCCAGCTTTTGCACTCTTGCTATAAAGGCAGGCGGATTTATTCTAACATCATTTAATTAACTGGATTTCAACATTAAAACACAAGGATCCTTGTATTAGCACTGGACCCTCGTTACAGTAAGTAGTATACAGGGAAAAGAATCCTTTTCTCTGCCCTTGTCTACGTGGCTTTCCCTCCCAACTATCCTACTGCCTGGTCCTGCAACGCTCGACCTCCTCATATATGAGAGGCCAGCAGCTGCCAGCCAACACGTGTGCTTTGAGCCAATAGACCAAAAAAAAAAAAAGGGGTCAAAGACAAAGCTTTATGTGTATGTTGGCACACATGTGAATTCAGGCCGCTGGGGAAAAAATGACACACACAAAGAGCACATTCATGGCCACATATAACTCCTGGAACATATAAATAGCCATCCTTGACCCAACACCTACTCTGTGAGGGAGGCACTGTTAGCAGAGAGACATACAGCATTACACAGAATTCCCCACAAATACCCTGGCAAGTTAAATACTACTGGCCCCATCTAAGAGATGAAGAAATGGAGACTTGGAAGGGCTGCGAAGTTCGGCCAACATCACACAGCTAAACGATGGCAGAGCTGGAATACAAACCTAGCTATATCTTGAACTCCCAACCCTGGATCCCTGGCACCAGCATACCGATAGCCCGGAAAAGCTGCAAAATGTGCTACACACACCCCTTGGACCATTTAATAAGCCCTCCCCAGGGCTCAGACAGGGGAAGAGAGAATTAAATCAATAAGAGGAGACCACAGAGTCTTATTTTAGACATTAACTTTAACCTCTTCTCTACCAAAACTTGTTTGTTTTCCCTCGTTCTTTTTCAATCAGCACAAGCAGCAAAGCTGAATTGACTAAAGAGTTCATCTCATCTCTTTCCCCTGCCTTATGTCTAACAAAGTGCATAGTACTGTTCTGAGGCTTAGAATGAGTTCCAAAAAATGCACAGCATTTGGTAACTAAGTAAAGAAGTTCGAATGCAGGGTCGCAGGTGACAAAGGATAAGAATATGGAACCCAGGTGGGGGACAATGTGCGATCAAAGGGTTTATGTTTGCTTCCCTGGAGCCAAAAATGGAAACCCTTAATAAGGAGGGAAGGCACTGGGAAACCAAAACAATTTTCATAGTTCTCGACTTCTGGCTCTTCCATTCAGGACAAGTAAGAATTCTCCCCGAAATTCTGATTTTCCTCTGAATTCTTTAGGTTCCTCCAAGTGAAACTAGTCAAACTGCTCTTTCCATTACAGCTGTCCGTTCCACATGGTCCGCACAAACCTAAATAACTAAAGCATTAAAATTCACTATGTGTTTAAGCCAATGATGGAGGCTGGGCGGCTACCTGGAATTAGCAAGAAAAAGCTTCCCTTGAGCCATTACTCTCAAGCAGGTCCTACACCTTCAGGAAAACCCTCGTCAAGGGGCTGTTCTTGAGATAAGGTATGGTGTTTGCGGGGAGCTTAGGTAAACACCCGACACTGTAGGAAGTCAATGTTCTCTTCTCACTCTGATGGACTGGCCTGAGGTCACCAGAAGCTGGACTTCTGCCACCTCAGCCAGGACGCAGCCACTATGAATAATAAATACTACAACGCCACTTCAGCCCCGAGAAGAGGCACCCTTGAGAGGCAAACCACGTACAGAAGGCTCCCGTACTATAAAAAATTTTCTAGGCAGGATCTGCTGAATCCTGGACGATGAGGCTACAACAATCTCCTAGAAGACATTCAGTTTTTCATAAAGTTTCAGAGGAAGGGAAAGTCATCCTTCCAACTGTGCTGGGGCAGTAATGACTTGGAAAAGTGGAGAATACAACAACAAACACAGTGACACATACGTGAACTCACTCTGCACAGCATGGCCACCCATTCGGATTAGGCAAAAGAGCACCGTGCTGTTCAGCCCCCATTCATTAACCTATCATTCTATAAGGCACAAGCTTTTAAGGCCATCACCAAAAGACAAGGCAACTTTAATACAAGGCTCTGTAAGCTACAGTATTATCACCTATTGCTGTCAGGTGGCTCTTTAAAAGAGAATCAATACCATTCTAATGAAACCAGGCCTGGGCCAATTAGTGCCAATAAAAATTTAGATGGTCCCACAACCACTGCTTGTTGTAGAAATGGCATCAGGCATGAAGGCGTGTCCAAAAAGAGAGATGTGTGCTCTTCTGGAAGCTACTCGGTTCCTGTAAATGCTTCCACTTTAATTTCTGATATTTAAAAAAAAAAATGCTACCCTGGCTACACTCCATAAATCCCCCTCCAGCCCCCAGCTAGCTACTAGGTATGACCTTTTTGTACTCGTCTTTTGGATGACTCTTACTTTGCACAAGCTCTTTCCTCTGCGCGAAATGCACTCTCCTAATCGGCCCTCCAGGTGAGCAACATCTCAATCCTCTCAGCTCAGCGCACACCTTGCCCCCTCACCTCCCGACCAAGGCTTCTCAGGCCCTCTCATTACGCTCTACTTCTAGATCAGCCTGAGGGTTTCCTCCGGGAGGCTGCAGTTAGATCTTGTTTTAGCATCTTTGTATCCCTTGTTCCTAGCCCAGAGGGGAAACTGCAATACTAGATTCCTTGAATGAATGGGTGAACTAACCCATTTGAAGAAATTCACACATTGGTGGAAATCCTGTAACCCACCAGCAGCCAGCAGTCTAGAGATTCCTCACCTTCACAAAGAGCCTGCAACAGCCAGTCCCTGGACAGACTGAAGACGAAACCCCACAATCTCCTTATGTTGTAGCTGGGGGTGACGGCAACTAGAGGAAGAGGAGAGGAAAGCGGGACAGGGGCGGCGTTACCTCACTGCTCCCTCCAAAAGGTGGAAAATCCCTTACAAGCATTCAAACCCCAGATGTAGCGGTCATGCCAGGAGAGAGGGGAGACGGTGCATTAACAACACCCTCAGAACTTGTTAATACTCAGAACTTCGAGAGTTTGAGGTGGAGACCTGTTCTGAAATTATGCGGCCACAGGTTTTCCCGATGGGCCGGCCCGACCACCCAAGTAGGGAACCAAGAAGCCCTGGGGTTTGGTGGCTAGGCTGGGGCCTAGTGGGAGGGCATGCAAACTCCTCTCCCTCTCAGGATCCTGCCTCCTTAGGGGGCAAGAGGAAGGTCGCGGAGAGAGTCCCTCTCCAGCCCGAGAGGCAGCAACGTCTTTGGCTTTCATCCTCCGGCCCGCACCGTCTGGGTATCTCCAGCTGCCCTCACTAGGCCCTCTCTGGATCCCAAAAAGGAGAAGGGAATGGGGAAGAGGGGGCGAGAGTGTGATTTCACCACCAACTCTCCAGACAGCGCTCACCTTCCACCTAACTCCCCAGACAAGCTGTGCGCCGCAGCGGGCGGCTCCCACCGCCACTTAAAACTCCTGCGGCCCGGCCACCTCGCGCCCCCGCTGCCCTGCCAGGCGTCCCGGGCCGCCGATCCCAAGTCGGCGTTGCCAGCGTTTGCCCAAGTCATCGGCAAGGCGCCCGAAGCGCCCAAGAGGCCCCCAACCCCGGGCCCGACTCCCCGCCCCAGACGCCGCTTACCTGCTTACATGGCCCTATCGGTGCCCCGGAGTCCCGCGCGGAAAGGCTGTCCTCCGCGGCGGCGGCAGCGGCGAAGCCCCAATTCCCCCAAAGAATTGATTCCAGTGCCTGGCGGTGGAAGGGCGGAGGGAAGGAGCCGAAGGAGGCGAAAGAGGAGGGAGGTTTCCGCCGCGAACCCGGCGCGAGAGTTGGCGCGGGGGCGCTCGGAGAAGGGGAAAAGGAGAACCACCCTGGCTCGGGTCTGTCCCGCCAGAGGGAGGCTGGGACCGGGAGGATGGGCGAGGTGGGAGGGGAAGGACCGCCAGGGGCCACTGAGTGGCGGCAGCTCCCCGAGGACCAGCGCCGGGAGGGCAGGCGGCGGAGCGAGGAGGAGCGCAGCAACCTGCCCCCGGACTGCGCCCGCCGCGCCCGCCCGGGGGAGAAAAAGTTGGGACGAACTTTCAGGGGCCGGGAGAGCCAGAGCGGCAGGAAATGCGAGCGGCCGAGAGAGGAGGGAGGAAGGGGCCGTGCGAGTGGGAGGGGACGGAGCAGGCGCCAGCGGCCGCGGCTCCCCCACCCCCGGGCCGGGCTCGGCGGCGCGGGGGGAAACGCTGGGCGCGCGCCGGGGGCGGGGAGGAATGCGGCTGGGCGGGCGCGCGCGGGGGCGCGGGGGGCGGCGCGGAAAGGGGAGCCCCAGCTCCCGAGCCCCAGGCGCGCGTCCTTGGGGACGTCACAGCGCTGGAATCCGAGGAATGCCGGGCTGCAGGAGCTCCTTCTGCAGGCCCGGGGGAAGTCGCGCACTTTTAATGTGGTGGCTTTGGAGAAGGTTTTCAAAGGTGAGGGCCGAGCGGGGAGGACGGGGTGAAACTCTCCGGAGTAAGAGACGTGGGAGTGGGGAAGGCAAAGCGACCACAGCGACCCCGCCTAGCGCCGTTCCCGGCGGGGGCGAAAGCGGGGAGCAGGAAAAATCCCACCTAGATCTCCGCAACCTGCAGAGGCGGGGCAGCGGCGGGAACTTGCCCACCCCGACCAGGAGCAAGGACAGTCCATCTTATTTGGGGGAACCCTCCAAGCAGGATGTCCCCATGCGGCCACCGCACAGGGGAAACAGACCAGGAGAAAGGAAGGTGGCTTCCCCAAATAGGCAATCTTAAAGTTCTGTCCAGGACACCTGGAACCTCTGGGTACCGGACCTGGCGTCTTAACAACCCCCAACCCCACCGCCGCCTCCCTGAATCGCAAAAGCTGTTAGTGCACGCAGGGTGTTAGACTATGTCGTTTTCCCGGTTCTTTCAGTGCCACAGAATCGCCCCACCCAGCCTGGGTAGGCACTGGGAGGGAACTTCCTTAGCATTTTCGGAGGTGGAGTTAAAGAGACGCAGCTGGTAAGATGGAACAGGCACCGAGCCAGGCCGGGGAACCCGGGTTTTCGGACCTGACCTGTGGTGAGTGTCCCAGTTCCTGAAAGCCTTGACCTCTGTAGCTGTAAGATTAAACGATTTGCCTATTTTTCTGTGGTCCTTTGCATTGCCAAAATGATGTCTTAGGAGTCTGTTGTCTTACTCAAGCCCAGTCCTTTCAACCTTTCTTAGGTTGAATAGGGTCCTTGAAGTCATTGCCACTGAGGATGTTGTCTCAAATTCCTTCAGTGTCCCACAACTCAGAAAAATTCCTGGACTCTTGGGGAAGAGCCTCCGGCAGCCATCATGTACAAATTTGTGGTCACAAAATTCTGACTTCTCTGAGCATTTGCTAATCTTCAAAATTATAAAGAAGCGGAGAACTTAAAGGGATGGAAGGAAAAGGCTGAAGGGAATTAAGATCGGTTTCTCCAACTTTCAAGAAATAGCTGGATAGCTTCAATATGGGCTTGCTGGATTTCCAAAGAAAATTAAGGAGTGCCTTACTGTTCACCAGGAAGCGTGGAAAGCACTTTATGTGCTCTGGTATATTATCCCCATTTCCGAGATGAGAAAAGTGAAGTGTGAAGAAATTACCTGTCTCACCAAGGGTCACAGAGCAAGTAAACTATGATAATGGACCCTAGTCTGTCTGGCCCCAAAATGCAAACTTATAAACCTTTCAAAATTTAACCAAAATAGGGTTAAGATTAAAGATAAGGAAAGACCTACAGGCTCTCAAGGTAGGAGAGATGAGAGGCCTCTTGAGGTCTTCCAGGAAAGGAAGTGGCATTTGTATATTTTTGCTTTAAAGTCACTGTGACACCAAACTCTTGAGCACAGCAAGCTGAGACAGTCGTGGTGTAGATGAAAAAGAACTTGTCTGCAGACGCAGTTTTTGTTCTGCCTCTGACTAGCCGTGTGACCCTGAGCAAGACACTTCACCCCTAGGCCTGAGTTTAATATTTAAGTGGAGTGTGACATGGAGGTCAGAGCCTGGTTGAACGAGTTCATCTCTGAGGTCTTTCCCAGTCTGAACTGGGATGAATGTATGCTCCTCCAGGCAGATGGCATACCTATGGAAGAAGCTAAGTGATAAAGCCAGGATGTCTTGGGGAAAGGACTGCCTTCACACTGCCTTCAGAATCAAAATGAATGTTGAGAAGGTTGCTGAGTGTTCAATGGCAACAAAAAAATAGAAAGCCATCAGATAAGATTAAGTACTACTCCTGTGGATTCATTTTTATTTTAAATAATTTTACTTCTAAAAATAAATGAACCCATTATTAATTTAAAAGCCCATAAAGTGCATCTGACCAGCCACATTTCTCTTTCTTTGGAATAGTTCACAGAAAGGCAATACAAGTAAGACTTTTTTAAATATGAAGTCCCACTTCAAATTTTAAAAGCCTTTCATTCTCTAGATAAATATATAAAAGCTAGTCACGGAGCTTCTTTCATAAAAGAAAAAAGCAACCCATTTCCTGGCTGCATTACACTTGAGTTTTCTCAGTATGCATCAGAGTAAACAGGAGATTGATTGTTGTGATAGGCCCTGAACACATCACTACACATTTATTTAAAGCTCTGTAATTTTAGGAACTTGTCAGTATTAAATATCCCCCCAAATCTTTCAACTGTTTCTAAGCCCAATTTAAACTACAAATACAGGCCAAATCTCATGGGCTGCCATGATTCCTCCCACCTCCAATGTGCTCCTCACATTAATTTATTAATTTTATACCTTCAAAACCATTGAAAAGCAAAACAAAATAAGTTCCGCAATCAAAGAAAACCAGAAAGTCAGCAGGCTCTCTTATGAAAACTCTGACAATCTCTAGGGGCCTTCTACAAAATGTAAAGACATATATAAGTAGAGAGAGAGAGAGAGAGATTGTTTGTTTTTTGGTCTCGCCGTGTGGCATGCAGGATCTCAACCAGGGATCCAACCAGTGCACCCTGCATTGGGAGCGTGGAGTCTTAACCACTGGACCACTGGGGAAGTCTGAGATTGTTTGTTTTTACCCTAAGTCTAATTTCAGTTCCTAAGAGGGTATTTGGCAGTGTACTGTAATGGAAGAAAAGAGAAATCGGAAGCTTTTTCAAAATACGCATCCTCTCTGTAACTCCTGCTCCCCATGTCTTATTTATCTTATTCCCTTGTTCTAGGGTAAGAGACTTCAGTTGGTATATATATGTTTCTATATATAATATTTTTAGGCAGTATTTTATTGAGATATAATTCACGCTCAATAAAAATGTACCTACAACTTTACTTTTTCATATGGATACATCCATGTGACCACCACCCAAATCAGGATATAGAAAATGTCCATCACCAGGACTTCCTTGGTGGTCCAGTGGTTGAGAATCCGCCTTCCAATGCGGGGGATGAGGGTTGGATCCCTGGTCAGGGAACTAGGATCCCGCATGCCGCGGGACAGCTGGGCCCGTGGACCACAACTACCGAGCCCACGTGCTCTAGAGCCCACGCACCACAGCTAGAGAGCCTGCGCACCACAACTGCTGAGCCCGCACTCTGGGGCCCGCATGCCATGGCTGGAGAGAAGCCTGTTTGCCGCAACAAGGGATCCTGAATGCCGCAACAAAGGTCCTGCGTGCTGCAACTAAGACCCAACACAACCAAATAATTAATTAATTTTAAAAAAGAAAATCTCCATCACCACAAAAATTTCCCTTATGTGACTGTTCAGTCAGTAACACCTCTCTAGGCTAACTTCTAATAACATAGCATAGTTTTGCTGGTTCTCAAACTTCATATAAATAGAATTATATAACGTGTGTGTATGTATATGTGTGTCCATGTCACAATTTGCTTATCCATTCTTCTGTTGATATATTGGGCAAGTATATTTTGAAAATATTTCCCAAGTAATTCTGTTATGCCTGAACCCTCCAATTCAGAACATTGACTTACAACAAAAGTAATCATAAAATAAGCCTAGATTCTTAACCCCTACAAAAACTATTAAGTAGCAGAGAAAGAAAAACAAGAACACTTAAGAACAACCAACTTGAAGAGTGTTTTAATGGTAGTACACATTCAGAGCTTCTTGTCCATAAAATTTACTGGAAATTGCCTGGAATATGGACTTTGTGTTATCTAGTGACTTTTTTAAGCGCTAACGTGGTTATGCAGAGCTCTTGCGTACATCCACACACACAGCGCACAATACTATGTAAGTTCAAATACTCTTTAGTGTGAATGGCATCCCCTGGAGCTGTGCACCGTGGTGGCTGTGATATTAGGAGTTCTCGTTTTAGAGGTAACTTCATGGAGTCTGCTTTGGAAGAATCATTTCCGACACCGAAGACTGAGTCCTTCCCTCCTGGTTGCATCTTTGAGGACTTTCAGTTTGGGGAAGAAAAGTGACTTTTTTTTTTTTTTTGGCCTCACCATGCTGCTTGTGGGATCTTAGTTCCCAGACCAGGGATTGAACCCATGCCCTCGGCAGCGAAGGTGCAGTGTTCTAACCATTGGACCACCAGGGAATTCCCAAAAGGTGACTTTCTAAAGCTCAGATTTCCCCACGTTGACTAAAGGCAGGAAGTCACACTCTTCTCAAATATTGATAACATAACAGGAGACTTTTGTGGAGGCATGGATAAGATGAAAGTGCAAAATACCTGTTTGGGTTTGTTCTCCAGCCTCTTTTGGAGGCCCGCCATACCTGCACCCTTTTATGTCCCATACTGTCTCCATTTCCTCATCTTTCCTCATGTCTCAACCCTGCCATTCCTGATACACTGTCATCTCTGGCCACCAAGCCTTCTGGTCACCACATTACCTCTCCACTTCATTTCTCTTTCCTTTATCCATCTCTCAGGAAAAGGCTCCCTGCCTTCCAAAGGGACTGTCCTCTGACCTGAGTCAAAGAAATGAGGGACCCCAGATCCATGGCTGTCAACCTAGGCCACAAATGAATTATTGCCTTGTTACTTCCTTCTGGAAAGAATTCCAAAGATTTTTAGGTTTTGTTTTTTCGAGCTGGGAGGAGGAAGATAAATCTGTCCTCTGGGACACTGTGCCAGCTCCCCTGGCAACTGTGGTTGACCACGTGGGTGATGGTATCAGAGTCATGTACACCAAGCAGATTCACTCGAGGCAGGTCGCTAGTTTTTCCAAGGAAAATGTACAAGATGCAGCCAATTGTTTATTAAAAATTCCATACGACAGCAATATATGTTAATCAAGTATACTCTAGAAAGGATAATTCGCACACATTATCACTACTTTCAGCAAGATTTAAAAGAAATAAAACCTAGGCACTATTAAGTATCTTACCCATTTCACTGTATTCATTATTCTCTACTAATTTCACCTTGCGTCACAAACACACTTTGAATCACATCTTAAAGGTACAAGCTTCGTGGTCATACTCACCAGTCTCCACTTGCTGACTTTCCCCGCTGCCCTCGGCCCCAACCTTGTCTTCCAGCCTTCCCAGGCTTGATGGGAACACACAGCTTACTCCCCACACTGTCATGTGCACACACACGTCCAGTCATCACCATATCCTCTGTGGGGCATGCTGCCAATGGAGTGTACCCACCCCTTACTGCTGAAAACCATCCACCATCCATCCAGTGAAGAAGACTTTACCTCCAGAATCTCTTCTGGAGGGCTTCTTCATTTCGATTTAAATCACTTTAAACTTTGTAATGGAATAGAGTCATTAAAAAAAGGAAGGAAGGGAGGAAGGAAGGAAGGAAGGGAGGGAGGGAGGGAGGGAAGGAAGGAGGGAGGAAAGAAAGAAAAGAAAGAGAAGAAGGAAAGAAAGAAAGAAAGAAGAGAGAGAAAGGAAGGAAGGAGGGAGGGAGGGGAGAGGGAGGGAGGGAAGGAGGGAGGAAAGAAAGAAGAAAGAAAAAGAAAGAAAGAAAAGAAAAAAGAAAGAAAGGAAGGAAGAAAAGAGAGAGAAAGGAAGGAAGGAAGGAAGGAGGGAGGGAGGGGGAAGGGAGGGAGGGAGGAGGGAAGGCTCTTCATAGTCATTTACATGTGATTGATAAACTCAAAAGCATACTCT